CTTAGGAACATGCAGAACATGAGGTTTCATCCCTGCCATTTTGGCTAATAGCCTTTGATGGACCTATCCTGTATGAACTTATCTAATCCTTTTTTTAAATCCAGTTAGTTTTAGTCTGCACCATACACGCGGTTCTTGCCGGCTGGGGAGGTCCAACAAGAACCCAATTGGGTGCTCCACTCAGGAGGCAGGCAGGTCTAAAGAGGCCAGCTGGGGGTGTGTGGGAGGAGTGTGTGCGCTCCCAGGTGGGTTACTGAAAGGGGCTGGCGGCACTGCGGCGGTCTGGCTCCAACCCCACCATCTGGCCATTGTGGTTTGTCCTCAGCTGCCCCTCTTCTGGGTGACCCAGCCCTGCTCCTGCTGTGACATGTGTGTGTGGCTCCCATCTGGCCACAGCCCCACAGCCCAGCCTCACCAGACTCTGACCTCCAGCCCCTGACGCAACAAAGGCATTTACTTTTCCATCACTCACAAATATCTCCCCAGTTACTAACATGCAAAAAGAAAATGATCAAAAAAAGATAAATGTTATCTTGGCTATTTAGGAGAGAGATTTGATTACTCTGTTATGAATTGATTAGAGGGGATAGAGTAGTTTACAGGAACTTCCATTGCTCTTTTCCTCTAAACTTTGACACTTTGCCACTTCACGTGAAGTCCATCTCATAGCAGATGCGATAACAGTGGCAGAGCGGCCAATGAGCAGAGGCAGCAGCAGTGGCATTGCATGACACCCTTCCCTCCTTTTCAGGTGTGAGAGGTGGAGCCATGTGTCTAAATCTGAACTCTGGGTCTTTGCTCACTAACAACCACCAACTGTGAGTGGGTTGTGGTGAAGGAAGAGGGGAGTAACGTGTCAAAGGAACATTTGTTGTCAGACTTTCTCACCGGAAAGTGAGAAACTGAGGCAAAGGGCACTTCCCAGTGTACTCTGGAGTAGATGTTTGCTCATGGCTATATGCTTTTAATCGTGTTTGTAGAGTTATCCCAAGCTAATGCTGGGCTACTTTTCCCTCAGGTCAGGTTAGAGGAACATCTAGATATTGATGACCTGTGGAGAATTCTAACCAATTAGTTAAGTTGAACATATTTTATAGACAGTAGGAACAATCAACATTAAAAATGTGTGGCTGCTATAAAACCAGGAAGAAAAATGAGACATTGGGCAGTGCATTATAAACTTAAAAAAAATGAACAAACAAACAAACAAAAATCCAGAGCTTCCAGTCTTCAGTATTTACTGCATATATACTAGTGTGTTAATTTTACCACCATCTTACTCAGTTATCTCATATTACAGCATCCCAGTGACAGGAGCAAAACATCAGTAACTGAACACAAATGGCCTCATTTTCAAAGGCTTCATATTCACTATGGTTTGTTTTGGTTTTCTTTAATTCCCACCATTGCTCTGACCAGTTCAGCTCCAGGAGGAGCAACACTCATAGCACAGGATCTGAACTGCTATAGTAACACTGCTAAAGAGTTTTTTGGGACAGCCACTGTGTAAGTAATATCAAAATGATATAAGAAAGAATAAAACCAAAGCAGCAAAATTAAGACTAAAACCTCTCTACTTCTATGTACTGTACCTTTAAGTGTTCGCAGTTATTCAGGATAAATCATTGCTTTAACAGAGAAAAAGGCCACTGGCATTTGAAAGATAATACATAAATGAAAACAAGGCCCAGCAGAATGTGCCTTAGGGGAGTTCTTTTCCCCTATCAATTTCTGAAATAAGAAGCCATAGGGCAAAGAAGGATCTTCTACTCCATTATATATATTTAAATAAAACAAAGTGCCATTGACTTTCATGGTGTTTGAGTTATTCCCCCACAATGGATCAGATTTTGAAACTGCAGCTGTGCATCATTAGTGTCAACAACACAGTTTAACTTATTCAGCAGCTCCAATGCTCTTATGTTCTTTGCTATAAAAAAAGAACACACCAGAAAATTTCCTTGTTTTCTAGGACCGTGGCAAGGATTGACAATCCTCTCACCACACTTGCATTAAATTCATATTCCTTCTCCTATCTCTTCAAGGGCCTGAATTAATCTGGCTCCTTCTGTTCCTCTTGTCCCCTTGGTTCCATGCAAGCCACATGGCCAGTGGTTAAAGCAGAATGAAATGACGGGGAGTTAATCATCACAACAGGCAAGGAGGTGGTGGTGGTATAAGCTATGCTGAAAAGAAGGAGAATTGCCCTCTGCGTTTATTTGTGTTCCTCTGACTTTCCCTTATTTTAACCCCAGTGAGAGAAAGATCAGATCTCTAGTTTGCAGATGATACCAAGCTGGGAGGAGTTGTAACTGCTTTGGAGGATAGGGTCATAATTCAAAATGATCTGGACAAACTGGAGAAATGATCTAAGGAAAATAGGGTGAAGTTTAATAAGGACAAATGCAAAGTACTCCACTTAAGAATGAACAATCAGTTTCACACATACAGAATGGGAAGCGATTGTCTAGGAAGGAGACGGCAGAAAGGTATCTAGGGGTCATAGTGGACCACAAGCTAAATATGAGTCAACAGTGTGATGCTCTTGCAAAAAAAGTAAATATGATTCTGGGATACATTAATAGGAGTGTTGTGAGCAAGACATGAGAAGTCATTCTTCCGCTCTACTCTGCGCTGATCAAGCCTCAATTGTAGTATTGTGTCCATTTCTGGGTACCACATTTCAAGAAAGATATGGAGAAATTGGAGAAGGTCCAGAGAAGAGCAACAAGCATGATTAAAGGTCTAGAGAACATGATCTATGAAGGAAGACTGAAAGAATTGAGCTTGTTTAGTTCAGAAAAGGAGAAGACTGAGAGGGGACATGATAGCTGTTTTCAGGTAACTAAAAAGAGTGTCACAAGGAGGAGGGAGAAAAATTGTTCTCCTTGGCCTCTGGGGATAGGACAACAAGCAATGGGCTTAAAGTGCACAAAGGGTGGTTTAGGAAAAACTTCCTAACTGTCAGGGTGGTTAAACACTGGAATAAAGTGCCTAGGGAGGTTGCAGAATCTCCATCTGTGAGGTTTAGGAAAAACTTCGTAACTGTCAGGGTGGTTAAACACTGGAATAAAGTGCCTAGGGAGGTTGCAGAATCTCCATCTGTGGAGCTATTTAAGAGCAGGTTAGATAGACATCTATCAGGGATGGACTAGACAGTACTGGGTTTTGCCACGAGGGCAGGGGACTGGAGTTGATGACCTCTCAAGGTCCCTTCCAGTTCTAGTGTTCTATGATTCTATGATCTGAGACCTTCAAAGCAAGAATCTGTCCATAACGTACCAACATATTCTGCATATTACAGATAAATGAACAATGATGTACCAAGTCCTGTTCTGAAGATTCACACACAAGAAGTCCTCTCCATAACAGATCTCATCTCTTGTGCATACAATAAAGGGTCACCTGCCTCCTCTGCATGTCGCCACTTTCCTGCTCCCTGACTTCCCAAGCCCCTGAGCCCCTGCAGAGGACATTTTCTCAGTTAGGACTGTGACTATTTCCATATTACAAGAAATGAGCACTGATGCCATTACACTAAATTTACTAACAGACTTTAAGCCAAACTAAAAGCAATTTACCTTTCCATCGTTGCATAGGTTGGACCTCCCTAGTTTAGCACTCTTGGGACCTGAGTGGTCTCAAACCAGGGAGTTTGCTGAACCAACAGAGGTCATTGCTCCCCTGCTGGCTGCCAGCCCCTGCTCCTGGGTCCCCCTCCGGGTTTTTGGCCCACTCCTGGCTGCCAGAATCAGCCACTGGCTTCCGCTTCTACTATACAAGATTAAGGGGGGACATGATAGCGGTTTTCAAATATCTAAAAGGGTGTCACAAGGAGGAAGGAGAAAATTTGTTCCTCTTGGTTTCTGAGGACAGGACCCACTCCGGGCAGCCAGTGATCTGTAGTCCGGCAACGTCCATGGTCCAGCTGGGCCACGGATGTTTCTGGACCAGAGCGCCCAGGATTTCAGAGGTTCAACCTGTATTGTGTTCTAAGAAACTTCCACCATGAGTTTCAATTCAGCTTTATTTGCCAGACTCTGTCAAAGGAAATAAATTCTCCCATAATTCATCTGCTTGAGTGATATAACAGGGAATCCACCTGGAAGCCAGAGAACCAGAGAACTTCTCATCACTACAACCAATACACTTATTGTTTTCACAATGTCTGATACCACCACAAGCCATGTTTAGATCCACATATCATGATTACATTTAATCCTTTCACATTATTCTCCACTGTTACTCTGGATCCCAACAGAGACACACGTGGCAGGTTAAGGGAGTTTTCAGCTTGACTGTGGCTTTGTTCCATGACCATGAGGCAAAACACTAAACTCTAAACAACTTTAAATTCTAAACAGCTGCCCTAGACTGTAGATCTCAACAACCAGCACAATATAAAACTCCACCCTTACTCCAGTCTCTCATTTATCTTCTGGCTACATGCTTGGATACATTGTTCTCAGCACTGCATGTCTGATTCACAAGCTGACAGGGGAAGTAGGAAAGGGTGGAAAGGACAAACTGTGCTGTTAAGTAGTTTAACCTCATCGGCAGCATTACTGTATCCAAAGGGATAGTTATTACTCTCAGTGTGGTTACAGTGCATCAATTACAGTGGATCTTCTGAGCAGCCATGAGATAAGTGCTGCTCAGTTTATCCTTTTTCATAAAAAAATATTTTTGCTTTAATTTATTTCAACAACAGACCGGGCTGAAACCATTTTTCTTGTGTTGATCGCTTCATGTTTATGATCAAGGACTAAAAGCAAGTATAGTCATAATAATAATGTTGTCTCTGTACTTTCATTCTGAAAACCACTCTGGCTAAAATTCCATATTCAATTATGCCCATGTAAAGCCATTAATTCATATGAGGTCACTGGCTTTAGTCTAGATTTGTACTAGGGTAATGGAAAGTAAAATCTGCAGCTTTGTCAATACCAGTCTGCAAAGTAATAAAAGTTAGAGATGAGAGAGAACTAAAATCAACTTACCTACTGTATTAGATCCTCATGCACTCCAATTCCTTCAGAGTCTGAAGAAATTCTGGCCTGTAGAAGATGAAGCAGTAAGTTCTCTCATAACAAAATATTGACTGATACTTTGTAAAACTGTACACTGGCTTAAATATCAAGCTTTTCAGGGGAAAAGCCTCATGTAGGAAGCTTAACATCCTGGACTCCTTTGCTACTTTTTACTATAGATAAATATGCATACAAGTTCTTTATGTATTAAAACACGCATGAATAATACAGCACTGCTAACCAGCAGCCCATACTATATTTCTAATTGCCACTGACATCAATGTTTTTTCCCCCTAGAATTAAGGTCACAGGATTGAACTTTAGAGGTGAAGTGAAGCAGACTGTCAAAAATCTCCTAAAGCCAATTGACTTTCAATGGGATGTAAGCACCTGAATTGTCAAGATGCTTGATGCTCTTGGCAAATCTCCCTCTTTAAGGAGAAAATTGTAAATGGTCCTGCATCTTCTCTGGCTGCCCATAAACACTACCCACACGATGATTCCAGGCCCACAGCTGACTGCAGTTCCACAGCGCTAGCTAATATGGCAGAATTCAAGGCTGTCCACACAAAAACAGGACGGTTCCTAGAATAAGTAATAACCAACTTTAATGCTGAGTTATTGCTTTGCCCTGCTTTCTGTCCTTGTCTATGCCTATTTTTTAAGGGTAATAACTTCTTCCTAACAAACAAAAAAGGAGTAGGAGAACAAGGGAAATCAAGAAATAGGGATGTGGCCAACAGTGTGCTTTTTATTATACTAATTCCTTTTTTGCTATCTCCCCCCCCCCCCCCCCCCCACTGAAAGCTATTAGGAATAATACTTTTACTTTAGTATATTGCCCCATTGTAATTGGGAGTTAATAAGGGGGTGTCAATATAGAGACTGATTTTCCCTGAGGTGAACCAGCTTTACATCAGTGCAGTTTTGTGGAAGCCAATGGAGCTGCACGAATGAAAAGCTGGGCATGGAGATTATTTGGTCTGGCACACTGCAGCACAGGGTATGGCAGGGAACTGTGAGCTTCCATGGGTGGATAAGCTTACAAAGTACGTGGACATGGATGTGGCCAATACTTACCCAGGGGCTGGTCATTCTCATCTAGGTGTATTTTATTGGGTCCCTGTTATTCAGGGATGACTGGATATACCTGTTCCTAGGGAACCGATGCATTTTTGCTTGATATTAAAGAAGGCATCTGTAAATATCTGGGAACCTCTCTAGGGTTCTATAGGATGTAGCCAAGCAAATAGCAAGTGCTTCCTCATAGGAGATGTGCAGTGCAAGTACTCGTTATGAAATTGATATGGTGATTGAATACAGTTAATGGTGTCAGTGTTCTTACATTTACAGCAGGATGTCAACCCCCCTCCTTCCTAGCACCGACATATGAGGGACGTGGTGAGGTCTCCACAGCAGGTGATTGGGACCAGATTGTACATGGGGATGGCTGATGATATTGAGTATGCAGAAAGGATTCTGGAAATGACAATGACTTGCACTGTCCAGTTTTTTTTGGCAGGTACTCCCAAATGCTTAAGAAATTAAAGTTGCAGCCTAATTAGAACCCCGGTGGGGTAGCTGAGTGGTTAAGGCATTTGTCTACAATTCTGAAGTCACAGCTTCAAGTATTGCTCCCTCTGCCCCTGAAAGGCCACCTCAAGGTCACCCCGCTGCAAAATAGGTACCTGATCCATCAGGTGAGGGCACTCAAAGGCAGTCAGATGTGATGCTGGCCACATCATTCCCTTGTGTACCACTGGCTACGAAGTAGATCTGCCTTAACATAGCAAGCTCTTTTCTGGGGTATCTCCCATTAACCTCCATCTTTCCATTATCTCACAGAATAGTAGCAGCCTCTTACTGGTACAGTGTAATCTTCCTACGCAAAGGCCTAATCCTGCTCCCATTGTAATCAACTGCAAATTCTGACTAGGAGCCAGCACAAAGCCTCAAAGAATTCAGAAGAGTGCAGAGTTCTCTTGCTATCTTTTCATTGTCCTTCATTTCAGTGTGCATAGAATACAGAGGTTAAATTGTGTGAATGCGTGAATATGAAAAAGGTGTTTTTTAAACCAAGCGTAGTGGGAACAAAGAGGTAAAGATCAACTCTATTAAAGATGTTTGGGTTTGTAATGTATCATTATTATAATGGAGATTGCCTATCTCCTAGAACGGACCATGAAAGGTCATTGAGTCCAGTCCCCTGCCTTCTCAGCAGGACCAAGTACCATCCCTGATGAATTTTTGCCCCCAATCCCTAAATGGCCTCCACAAAGATTGAACTCACAACCCTGGGTTTAGTAGGCCAATGCTCAAACCACTGAGCTATCCCTCCCCCCAGATAACAAAGAATTAGCTTAAGATATCAGTGAATATATCAGATATCAGTGAATTAGCTGATCTCACTGCTTGAGTGGCATAAAAAAGGGATAAATGTGGATTTTTTTCAGCAGATAATTGTGTGTGATATGGGAGTTCCAGTTGGGCCAGTTAGAAATTCAAGTTTCTAACACTGACTAAGAGCAGATCTGCATGCCTCTCATGATAGTAAAGCACCAAGCCTTGTACTTGCCATTTACTTTTCTGTGGATCTACCTCAGTTGTCTGCTATGAAAAGGGATTTTCTTAGGGAATCTTTCAGTTATTGAGGTAGTTAAGCCTGTAGTCAATCTAACAAAGCTCTGCTGATCTACTTAAAATGTATCCATTACTATTAAGAGAACAATCCAAAGATGATGTTTTTCTGTCTGAAAATGATAGATCACAGATTGCTTTCTAATCCCTTAATTATGTACATTTAATTATTTTAGAGCAATGTTTGCATTAGATTTTTGGAAACCTTGTCACCTTCAATTCTCAGGTGACAAACACACAGAATTGAGCTCTGTTGTAATAATATTTGGGACTTTCATACTTGTTTTCATCTGAGGATCTTAAAAATCTTTACAAAAGGTGAATAATAGTATTATTCACACTGCTGTCACTTTGATATTTCTGTTTAATCATTAATAGATGCTCACTAAGACCCAAATAGAAAATTTCTCATGCTTTTGATTCTATAGTCTCTTAAGAATATTGTTTGTAACAACTCTTCCACTTCGTAGTATTATTTTCATTGTATGCGGTGCTGTTGCAGTTGTCTCTCTAATATCCTAGGATCAACAGAAAGTGTGAGAGGTTATATCTTTTATTGGACCAGCTTCCATAGGTGAGAGAGATAAGCTTTCTAGCTTATATAGCTTCTTTAGCTCTGTAGGCTCAAAGCTTGTCTCTGTCACCAACAGAAGCTAGTCTAATAAAAAATATAAACTTAACCCACCTTGTCTCTCTCTCTCATTTTTGATGCACTTTTTATACCCTGCAAGGTTTGAATCAACATTCAATATTAGGCAAATTTCATCAATGTTAAAAGTTGGAGCCAACTTAAATACTTAGTAGGGAAACCTTAAACAGTAAAATTCCAATGAAACTGTGCTGCAAGTTATCAGGAAGAGTGAGGGATTGTGTAAGAAAAGAGGAAGTCTAGGATAATTCTTATACATTCTTACTATCCTACAGAACATATGATCAGACTTTGAGGGGATGTAAGTTACTTCAGTGTTTGATAATGGTGAGTAAATGCTGATTTTTTTAAAACAGGGACCGCTGTAAAGAATCTTAAACAGTCAGAAAAGATGAGCTCATGGTAAGATTATTTTCTTGAATGCCAAAGTGTCTTACTTATTGCCTGTAGTCAAGTGGATATGAAAATTACACTTGGCTCTCTGTCATAACCATGACAAGACAAAAGCATTAGATTGAGCAGTAGTTCCTGCTCTTTTATCGATCAGGAGATAGATATAGCATGGGCAGCAACACAGTCAGCTTCCCCCACTCTGCTCCTAGTTAAGGCGCCTCGTCCATATTCAGAATCAAAAGAAATTTGGTTCCCTGTGATCCATTGAATCTTTGGACACACTACAGAGGCTGCTCATGGGTTGTCCGTGGAGTTCTCTAACATGGGCGTTTGTCCACAGGGCGGGTATGTCTACACTACCCTTCTAGTTCGAACTAGGAGGGTAATGTAGGCATACCGCACTTGCAAATGAAGCCCGGGATTTGAATTTCCCGGGCTTCATTTGCATAAGCGGGGCTCCGCCATTTTAAAATCCCCGCTCGTTCGAACTCGTCCATCATTCCACGAGGAGTAATGGTAGTTCGAACTAGGAAGCCTAGTTCGAACTACCTAGTTCGTGCCGCGTGTAGCCGTGCGGCACAGGGTTCGAACGAGCGGGGATTTTAAAATGGCGGAGCCCCGCTTATGCAAATGAAGCCCGGGAAATTCAAATCCCGGGCTTCATTTGCAAGTGCGGTATGCCTACATTACCCCGCTAGTTCAAACTAGCGGGGTAGTGTAGACATACCCGGCTGTATTTACAGACTACGAGGCAAAAAGCTACCAGTCAGCAACAATATTTGGCCACTAATGATGTGAGCCTGAAATCCAGTACTTTATGGGTTTGATTCTCCACCGCTTTTAGTTATATGCAGCCAATGACCTGTCTGCAAAGTGTCTATATTAAGAGTGCAAAAACATCACATTGCCAATTTTGTGGAGTTTTACATTCAATTTGCAAAGAAGGTGCAATGGACTGTAGACTCTGTCCCTATTATAGTAAGGAAAATATACAATAATTTTTAAATCTAAAGAAAGAACAGTGTTCCTAAAAAACTGAATCAAATGGTGTTTTTTAAAACCTGGATCTTCCAGCTTGCTAATATAATCCAATTGGCACCATTTTCTCTCTAAATAGTGAAAAGATGACAGTGTTTTGGAATATAGGTATTATTGCTTGTCTTCACTAATTCTCATTAATGGCTTTGACAACCATTGCAAATTAAACACATTTTTGGGGGATAACAGCAAATAGGAGAACACACTCCCCTCCATTAAAAAAAACAAAAACAAAAACAAAAAAGAGGATTGTTTATGTTTTTAAAAGTTCAGTGTGGAAAATCTGAATCTAGAGCTCCAACATCCCAAA